CCAAATCATTAAGGAAAAGAGAGACATGTCTCATTTTTTCCGTTTTGGAAAACGATTTGGTAAACGCGTTTTTCTTTTTTCCTTTCTCTAGTTTTCCAGGAATTTCTTTGGTAAACATGTTTCCTGTTTTCTGTTTTCCAGTTTTCCAGTTTTCTGGAAAACTGGAAAATATCTCTGTTAGTAAACAGGCCCATAGCTTTCCCCATCTCCTCACGATCTCAAGTTTATAACACTGATAAAAGAAAGTTACTAGTATGCCGACTAGTAACTGAACTACAACATCCAAGCCTTATTCCCAATCTGAAGTATAGAATCGACAACAAAAACAACAATCAATCCTTAAATTCCTAATCCAACAAAAACACCTCGAGATCATCCACTAAACTCCTTTTATTGTGATGTACCATATATGCTCATTAAGTCTCAAAGCTTTGATGTATCTTTTACACCTTCAATCAAATAAAATAGATAATAATATCAATCTCTCTTTTTAAATTGAAAGCGGCAACAATGGTATCCAATTTCTATACAGATAATTGAAAGTTCCTACTAATAAGAATCCCAATGGACTTAAAAGGGGATAAAAACTCAGTTCTATCTGTATATGTTCTGAGCGCCAACTCATACATCTGAATTTATTTTATTGGTATTGCAAACCCCCCCCCCCCCCATTTTGAACTTTTCTATTTCCAAAGTAATTCTCATCAAACTGGTATTATTTTGATGGGAATCTTTAGGGGTAATTCATCAACTTGGTTAGATCTAATATGATAGCGCCTTAGGCCAATACAATTTCACAGATATTCCTGTTATGATGCAAGAAAAGGACAAAATTGGATTCCAGCTTCTGTTTAGGTCTCCAACACTTCAAGATTCCACCCTCTGTACCAGTGAACTTGCTTCTCGGAGGGCTAACATGCCCAGAAAAAGTGTAACTACTTCTCCGCTTCTCGCTTACTTTATCTTCAATAACAGCTCTACTCACACTATTATGGATCTCCTAAACCTTTTTTGCACATCTACTTTTTTCATCCTTATCACAATTCCTCTTTAACAACCACAAATTCTACACATAACTTCTCTATTAAATCTTTCTTCATTGCGATATTTCTACATTGATCCTTATATTAAAGAGGTCTTATAGCAGTCTTATAATCTCGTTAAGTAATGTAGAAGAAAAGTGGGAAACTGGGCCCTGTAGGCTGTAGCCTTTTTGTGCAATTAATTTGTTTGTTCACGCAATATCATATGGTGTCTTCCATCATATGGTGTCTCTGTTTCTTTGTTATAAAGTCGCAGTCAGTCCATACAATTTTGGACGTGATTTTCACTATGGGTCATTCGGAAACACTCTTTCTGTTCTTTAGCCTAAGGTGCTTTAGTGCAGGGGTAAGACTACGTACATCTGACCCCTTACCCTACCGTAGGTGGGAGCCTTTGCGGCATTGGGGTAAAGATGACGACGCAATATCATATAGTTCTTTCAAATATACTGTTTCATATAGGTGCTAAGAGTCAATTAGTTTTAAACAACTAATTGGCACTATAGCTTTATTGCCATCAACCCTATTGTAGTTGGGACTAAGGTGCTCACGATAATGATGAGATTACTTAGTCTTGAGCAAACACAAGTAAACAACTTCAATAGCCTTTGTTAAACAAGGGCCAAAGAACCAATTCGATCATATATTAAAGAAAACTATAATCTCCAATGTGATAACTAATTCACGCTACAAGAGCTCAAATGTATGGGTTCAGTTGTCACTTATTGTACACGGCTATACCATAATCAATCAAAGCAGCATGTACCTAATTGAAGTTATTCCCAATTAATTATCACTATAACTTGGACGCTGATTATGAAAGAAAAAGAACGAACCCACTGATTAATGTCGACATTGAACTCGTAGAAGGTGACATGAGCGGCAGTGATTAAGATCTCTTCAATGAAGGGATCAATTCTCTGAAGAACGGTGAGATTGAGCACCTTGGTGCTCCGCTCGTCTAGATTCGGAATCAACTTTCCAGTTTGGGAAGAAGACATCACTTCCCACACCAGTGAAACACAACGAACAGCTTAATCGATCGACAAGTCTTGGAGAGTAGGGAGCAGTAAGTAAGATCCTCCTGGTACTCTGTATTATTTGGTCAATTTCGAGAACTGGATATTTGTTCCTTCAAGGCTGCAACAACTCTTGTGGCCGTCTAGCGGACCTATTAAAAAATTGAAATTTATACGACGGCCAGACAACTCGTGATATATTTTTTTGTTATAAGGCTAAAATTGGACATTATGGTTTATCTGAATCTCATATTGGACACTGAGGTTACAAATGGACCAAATTAGACATTATGATTCATATGTATCTCATATTGGATACTAAAGTTTCATAATTTAATATAAGTGAATGTCCAATTTGATCTTTATCCAATATAAGTGAGTGTCCAAAAACTATGAATTATGAAACTTTAGTGTCCAATATAAGATATATATGAAATCATAGTGTCTAATTTGGTCCATTTGAAACCTTAGTGTCCTATATGAGATTTTGATGAAACCATAGTGTCCAATTTGAGCCATATCCCTATATTTTTTTGTATAGAGAATAGAGATTATCACTTAGAGCTGAGATTGATTACCTTATAAGAAAAGGATACGGAGTATGTGTTATTTTACAAATTGGAACTATTATTAAGTATAATAAAATAATTATAAAAGAAATAAAATTATTAGCTTATTTTATTCCAAACTATCACTAAATTCACAAATCTATACTATTCTTTTATTTTTATAAAAAAAAACTCAAACTTCATCTTTTTCAACAATTATACTTTTCTTTTTTGGTTTTTCAAAATTACACATTTTTATCAATATCAATTAGATATAAGCAATACAAATTTGTAAACTTGAAACTATAAACAAGTAAAAAAAATATGAATATGATTATCATCTTAATTTTTACTAATATTGAAAGTGTAATTGTGAGATACTGATAAGGCAAATAAACTAATAAAACTGTCAAATGGAGTCAACTTTGGGAAATGCTTCTAGTGAATTTAATAGCTAATTTGCACTTTGACTTTCAGTTCCTAATTTTTTCACGTAAAATATTGTTCTTGTTTGCAAAATTCCTATTTAGATTAAGTTCACACAGTAACATAATTCTAATGTTAATTGTTTCACCAAAGTTTAACAATTTTTTTGAGTCATGAGTTCTTAATACATCTCTCTCACTAGTTCTTGTGGTGTCTTTTGAGAAACAATAGTGATTTGCTGATATCTTTGTACATAAACATTCACAAAGATTTGTAGAAAAAACGTGTAAAGAAATACAATTTACAATCAAGAAAGTCTGAAACAAACAATATATTTCTTTCACAAACATAAGTTTCGATGCACACTAACATGCATAGACATTAGCGTTAAGTGCATAATGTATACACCAGATTAGTGTGCACAAGCATCACTTTCGGATCCAAGTAAATTTTAATGAATTGCACCAACTTACTTGAAAGTGAGCAATTGAGCACATTAATTTGATCACTATATATTTAGCTCCACTTAGACAAACAAAATCACATTTGATCAATGCACCAAATTATTATTATTATTATTATTCACAGAACCAAATTATTAATTTAGAGGTAAGGAATAGTGTAAAATAGTGACTTTTACACTTCGTTAATCTATTAACTGTTGTCTCACTTTATTTACTAGAGCATGTAACATTATTATTTTTTAATCTCACTTATTGATTTAAGAGAGTCATTGGAATATGACTATACTTTAAAGGTTTGGAGATGCTTGTAGTCCCTCCAAATATATTGCATTTTGTTTTACGTCCCTATGTAATTATCTTTTGCATTACATCTCTGAATATTTATGTTGGTTTCTTTGGTTCATCACCGATAATAATAACCTCCGTTTGATAATAAACAACCATAATTAATAGATTTTCTCTGATTCTTTTCATGTTATTAAAAATATATTTAATTTTCATTTTTAGAAGATTTTTAATACCTATTTTTAAAATATGAATAATGTGAGTAATATTTTTACATTGCTTTAACTCTCATATTAACAAGGATAAATTTAAAAGTTTCTAGTGCCACATTGCCCCATTATATGTGTCTTATTTTGATTTGGGACAATTATTAATAATTTGGTTGAAAATTTTAAAATTTACAGTTGAGATTTTGTGTATAATAAATGGAAATATTGTAAACCACATATTTCTTTCTAAAAAGAAAATATAATACGGAGTACTTTTTTTGAAACAATTTAAAAAAAGAAAGTAAGACAAATAATAGTTTAAATGTGTATCACTAAATCAATGTATTTAAGTATGTGATATTTGTAAGGACTAAAACCTTTTTAAATGATGTGTATGTTGCATTCTACCTAATACTCCGTATGACTCAATATTATTCATTTGAATGAAGAGACTAAATTAATTTGAATGTGACTAAATTATTAATTTATGCCCACACACCAATCAAGAGATCATATACTATCGTCTGTAATTGGGAGCTGAATCAGAAGTAGGAAAGCTAGCCTAGCTTCTTTTTTATATAGTAAGATAGAGAGAAAGAGCTTATTTCGATGGAGAGAAAGAGGCTTTGTGTTCTATGCTAAGGATCATGTGATTCATGTCTCTGTAACAATAAATAAGGTAATCTTATTTTGGATAACCGCTAGTAAAAGGAATCTAGAGATAGTATCAACCGTTTTACAAAAGCCATGTTTTACTAACTGAACTAATTTTTCATTCAATTCACTAATTCTTGTGAGCAAACCAAAGAAGATAATGATAGGCAAACTAACAGATAAACTTTAACCTATATGTATAGTTCCAAAACTTTTAGAACAGAATTGGGAAAAAATAATCTTACATATTAACTTTTAGTTGATAATTTTTTTAATAAAATATCAAAATCTATGCAAAATAATACTTCAATTTTTCAATGAATGAACCAATTGCCACAATGATATTTTTGGTAAAGTATCTAAATGCTTTGTACCAATTGTGTGACATTTTAGATGTTTTGTGCCATAATTTGGTTGGTAAATTTAGTACGGTGGATAAGTGGATTCAAGAATAGGGTCGCAAGGATAAAGATCTTCTCAGTTCTAATTCATAGTTCATACAGGAGTATGATCTTGGAACTTGGGTATCAAACATTTATGGCCTAACAGGAAAAAAATACAGCCCGTCAAGAATTGTTGAGTATTTCTGTCTTTCTGAGCAATGGACCAGTCATTGCAATCTCCATCCACGATCTTCAAGCGCACTTATAACCGCACCCGCAGCCTCTTTGGTATCATTCAATGGAGAATATGTCCATCTTTCTTTACATATCTGAGTGATAAACACAACTAAGTGAGTCGGAGAACTAAAGAACTTGGAAATTAGTGTTATAAGATGTTTAAAAAAGAAGTTCACAGAGACTAGAAGAAAAAAGTAGCTCACATTTTCTTTCCCTGTGAACGGCCGTACCATGCATCGTTCTCTGAGGGATTTGTGGAAATCTGTAAACTTCCATCTACATCGCTCAGCTCCAATCACATAAACAGGCTTCCTGCATTCAATGTCGAAAGAGTTGATATAGTTGAATAACCATAAATAAGAAAGATTAGTAAAAAAAAAATGCAATGAATTGCCAATAGCCCAATACATTTTTTTGGGATGCAGTATCATTCATTTAATTTTAAAACCTCATAATTCTAATTATGATACTGATTCATAAAATCATAAATTTGTCAAACGCCCCTCCTAGGCGTAAAACTGAGAGTATGGAACTCAAAGTCTCACACTATTATTGTGGGCACATAAATAACATACCCTGTACTGCAGGCCTCACTCAACATGCTAATTGAGTCAGCCGTGATGACAAAAGCATCTGCCAAAGCTAAATGTCCCATATGTGGGTTTGGACCTGTAATATGTTTGATGTCATGTTAAGCTTCATTAGTACAAGGCTTCACATCCCATTATTCTTTGTTGTCGGAGGAAACTGAATGGTGAAGTAATGGATAAAGTAATGCGGAGTATATAGTACCTTCCCCATTCCAAATGTAAACTTTAGGATGATTTCCTAGTTTGAGCACTACAAGATCTGCAACCTGTTCATGAAAGCACTAAAATGATTCAGAACATGAAAATTTGAAATAAGATGAGTCTGTTCGGCACGTCGAGCTGAAAAGCCGATGGCTAGGCACTGAAATTTCTTGGTTAGAAATGCTTGATAAAACATGTATAGATGATGAATTAATAATATGCAAAAGACATAAAAAGAGTGTTTCTTGGAGCAGTAAAAGACAAATGCCGGATATATTTTAGTAATAGGTGGCTTATGCTTCAGATGCTTGGCTTATGTATATATTTATTTTCACACAAGCGCTTATTTTAAGTTCCTATTTTATCCTCTAAATAAAGACAATGGCTATTTAGAGCTTAAAATAAGCTTTAAGCTCGTTAATGATATTTACTGAAAATACAAGAAAACACACCAATCATGCTTTACCATCTTGGGAGTTCTACGCGAAAAAGAAATTCTGACACTTCCACAAGTTGGAATAACATTTTGCAGTGACGATGTGAGCTCATTTGCCAGGTCTTCACCATATTTACAATGGGCTGTATAACAAATTGTTAGTGGGAAAATGAGCACATGTTACTTCAAAGTTCAAACTAGCATACTTACACAGTGCTATTTAATAAGTGAGTACTCACAAATCACAATATACTACCTACATGGTCAGATTTAAAAAAACGAGTTACTCTGTGAGTGCTAGGAAATTTTAGTGACTTGGTGATTCCGATTACTCGACAAGTAACTCGGTCAAAGTTAAATGTGGAAAATCGAAAATGAGAATTGGATATTCAAAAAAACCAGGGAACTTCAATTTAATACGGAGTAAAATACATTGAATAGTTCATAAAACTACAAATTCTTATTCAAGATTTGTTTATGGAAAACTGGACATGGACAGAGATGAAGACAGTGCTGATCTTGAACCAAATTGTGATTAATTTAAGATACAAGAAGTTAGGATTTATTAGATGGAAAAAAACTTCTTTAAATGCTTTATGCATTATGCTAGTTATTGAGGATTATTGTTTGTTGCTTCACATTTGAAATTTGTAGCATACAATTTTTTTAAAAAGGTGTGCCATACTCAAACACAACCCTTTTTTGTAGAAAAAACTAAAAAAACATGACTCTTTTTTTGAGGGTATAATTTATAGAAGGTTCATTAATTCTACACTTCAGTAACAAGACCTTATCAAGGGTAACATAACAAGGTGGATGCACAAGACTTACAAGTGGGTCCTCCAATGTTTACCACAAGCAATGGTTTTGGCAGTAGTCCAATTCCCTCATGCCAGGCAGAAGCAGCACTTTGCAGTGAGCTGCAATCAATTTGATGAAGGGCTCCTATAGTGAGGACCTGCACTTTTTTATTTTTATGTGGGCAAAGGGCTCCGGAAACATGGTCTTTACACACTTGCAACTTTGCAAGCAAAGATCTCCGTTTTGCAGCTATTCTATTGCAAAAGAGAAAAATGAAAAAAAGCATATACCACATGCTTTTCTGGAGGGTTTTGAGGTGTTATCCACCTCCGAATAAGTTTGGGAATCTGCTTTTGTCCATCAGGTGTGAGTGGATAATAATCATGTCGAGGTGTGATGACTACATCAAACCAATTCAGATGTGACCTGGGGTGTTGAATCTGGAAGCACAAGAAATGTCAGTTTCATTCTTTAAATTTAGCATACTTATTTGATGGGAGAAAGATGGTTTGTAGAAGCTCAATTTATGCATAATTTAGTTCTGAAATAAATGAATGCATCTCAACTCATCGTCCTTTCATGATATCTTTCATGCAAGTGAAAGATTTATGACAAAGGTGGTTTTGAAAAATAATTAAATTTAGGTAATTACTTAATAGATACTCTAAATTTCATGCCACTGACCCCAACTAGTTTGGATTAAGGTGGTAGTTGTGAGTTATGACTGGTGATGAAGATGAAATAGCACGACATTGTTTCACTAAACCTGAACAAGAAAAACATTTTCTGGTGCTAACCGCTTTACAGAACATGCAGTGGAAATTGTATCTCGCCCCGATGCAACCACCAACATAGGCCCCTCCCTGAAGAAGTTAGAAAACCAAGAGCAAGAAATTATAGATGGTAGGATTATTAATTGTTCAAATTGAGAGAAAAAAGTATCTCAAGGAAGCCCATCTTCTGACCTACCAGACAAAGGAAACTCTTTCCGGGGAATGCACAGGGAAAGGAAAAGTTACTCCCTCCCACCAAATGACCCCTTAAATGGCAAGACTAAGAAAAGAGGATGCACACATACTTTTCGAATGTTTCATGAGCCACTTTTGCAATATGCTCAGCATCAGCTTCTGGTATAACTGAAACAAGTGAAGTTCAAAATTTCAAATGTCTCAATGTACCATTCAAGCTTCCCGTGTGCAAAGCAGACCCCTTCATTGAAACCACGCCCAAGAAAATATCAGGAAGACCCATTTTTTCAAAATAGCAATTCAAGAACCAGAGATATTGCAGAACACCCTAGTTTGAATAATTAGAAACCAACCTGTTTGTTTGGCAGGGAAATTAGTCACCTTATTCCATTTGTTACAAAATTGTGGCTGTAAATCCCTAAGAATCCAATTAAATGCATACACTGTTTTTTTGTGGAGCGAAACCGGCAACCAACGAAGACTCTCATTAATTCCTCCCCTAGGCCTAGTAACTCTCTGCACAAGCATAGCATGGGTGTAAAAAAGGCGCATCTTCTTTCAGAGATCAAGCTTTTCAAGATTGATGCTATGATGATGCTTTGAATTGGCACATTGGAGTTGATCAGCACTTTACAAGAGCAAATGAGGTATGGAACAAATTTTTATAAAAGAAAAAAGATACACTTTTCAAGGAAAACCCGTATGAGCTTTTTCTCTTAGAAGGTGACCGAAACTTTAGTCTTTAGGTGATGAAATGTTTCACAAAGCATGGATATCAATTTCTAGCATCATCAGTAAAGTTTTTCAATACATCTTAGCAATAAACTTTGTGATTACTAACGTGATAGTATAAGCATTACATCTTATTGCTCTGGAATTAAATAAGACAAACTATAAGCACATTTAATATGTAAATCAGTTCCTCACTTGTCAATACCTTGTGATGATGATGATCTATTTCATTAATAGTGCTTCGTACTGTACTAGTGATAATCACATTGAAGTTGATCGGCACGTTATACAAGAGAAAATCACTACTAGAGACACCATAGCATCATTTTTTGGGTTCAAAATGATCATTTAGCAGATGTTTGTAGACTTCACATTGAAGTTAATCTTGGCATCTCTTTACATCACTAAATTATCTCAGTCTAGTTTCTTTCGAAGAATTCAATAATCAATTTTTTTTCTAGCTAACAGGCACCATGTCATCTGGTACGTTATATCACTTCATTTTCTAAGGAACTAATAACAGCAAAAGAAAATAATATAAACACTCTTAGGGGTAAATCTCAAGCTTTTGTCTTACAACTTGACCCAAACTTTCCGTGATGAAATGTTTCCCAAAAGATGGAAAGCAATCTCTCGCATCATCAGTAAAAAAAATCAATTTTCAATACAGTCTTCACGATCCACTTCACAATTAGTGAAGTGATAGAATAAGAATTGCATATTATTGCTCCTCAACAAAAACAAACTATCAGCACATTTCATATGTAAATCAGTTCCTCACAAAAAAAATCAATACCTTGTACTATTACTTCATAATTACTACTTTGTATTGTACTTGTGCAATCATCTGAGATACTAGCTATACTGCGGAGCACTCCGTAGTAAATAACGAATAGACTAGTAAGAATTTAAATTCAGCTCAGTTAAAATGCAACGTAAGACACCGAATTAAAAATTCAAAGGCCAAAATCAAATGCAATGCATTAAAGAAACAGAGGATCATACATAGAGAGTATGCCGATGCGATAGGCCGAGAGCTCGAAGTAAACCGATGCACTGATTTTCTGCGCCGGCGACGCCGTTTCCGATCACCACTGCCCTGCTAACGATTCGCATAGGGTCGGCGGTCTTAAAAAATGATAGACTGGTTTTGAAAATTGGGCGGGTTTTGTGATAACTGATTGACCGGATAACCCGGCCCATTTTGATACCCATCCGCTTAATTTAGCCTCCACAGTACACACTTCGACATTAGAATCTGCTGGAAGACGCGCGCCCTCGCGTACAGAGCTCACTCGCCAGGTTTGTGGATGTCGCAGAACGCGGAAGGAGGGCCGCCGGAGGTCACACTGGCGACCTCAATGGGCTCTTTTACAGTTGAGGTAGTTCTCTTCTTCTTCAAAAACACCTCATAGAAATTTCAGATTTTGGGAGAACATATTCATGAAATAAATGAAAAATTAATCAGATGTACACCAAACACGCGCCGAGAACTTGCCGGAACTTCATTGAGCTCGCTCGGAGTGGTTACTATGACAACGTTAAGTTCCATAGGATCATCAAGGTGCTTCATTTCTTTCCCTGAACAATGTCTCATTAACATATACACAGATTTAATGCTATATATTAGGGCTACTTCCATTTTTAATTTACGGTTGTGTGACTATGCCATGTGCTATACATATATGGAGTAGGATTTCATTGTGCAAGGTGGCGATCCAACTGGTACCGGAAGAGGAGGACAATCCATTTACGGGTATTCTTTCTTTCCATGGCCCTTTCTTCATCTTTTCTATATATGTTTCCGGTCACTAACACAGTAACACATATATGCACATTTTGTATATACTGAAGCTTCTCTATTGTCAAGTCATGATTCAAGTCAGGGGGGTTAGTTTTAGTAGTTGCTATTAGTATATGATGCATCATGCATGTATTTGGCTAAATCATGTTTGGTAGTTCTAGTAGTTGCTATTAGTGGTGTGTGATACAATGAACTTCAGAACTGCAATCTTCATTAAGTTAATTGAAAATGTATGAATTTTAATGAGGAACCATAAAACTGGCTAAAGAGGTGGATGAGACTAGAATTTGAAATGGGGTGTTTTGCTATACAAAATAAAAAAGGCATATCCATTTCTTGATTCTATTTTCCAAGATCCATATCGGGTGACGATGTTGGTGTGTTTACTCAATGTTCTAGAAGGTGGCGTCTTAGAGCATCTCCCATGCTACAATGTGTACGGTGCATATGTGACATGAGAGAGATAGACACAAAAGATTAAATTTATGACATTTCTCTCTCCTTCTCTCCACGGTCTTATGTGTTTTTGGTATGTTTTTATCAACAATGTCAATCACAATGTTTACATCTAGACATTGTGTTTGACATTGTGGACCGTTCAAATACATATAAGACCGTTCAAATAAATAGATAGATATTCTATTTTTTGTTTTTTGAATTGGCAATCTCTCATGCCACGTAAGTACCGTTCACGTTTTTGCATTGGAGATGCTCTTAGCAAGGAGTGGAATGATCTTACTCTCTGATATTGTTTATCTACTTCTCCATCAATTTTGCAGTTCGAAATTTAAGGATGAAATTGACAAAGAATTAAAACATACTGGAGCAGGTATTCTATCCATGGCTAATGCAGGACCGAACTCAAATGGAAGTCAATTCTTCATTACATTAGCACCTGCACAATCGCTGGATGGTAAGTATAGTTCTAAAGGATACTTTGCCTCAACTCGGATTGAGTTATTTTAAACACATTTTGAACTTATCTGTCTCCGTGTGATTGATTCTAATACAGTAATACAGATTAGTTTACTCTGAAAGGCAAGTTGGTGCCAAATACCCTATCTTAACCTTGAACATTAAAAGAAAGGCCGATTGATGTTTTACTCTTCAAACATCTCATTTACCCCATAAAGTAACCCAAATATCTCAATAAAGATCTTGAAGGCTCGAACTTTCGTAAAAAACAAAAAAAATGTAATTTTGCAGGCGTCTCATAGACATATGCAATTTAAAATTGCCACTTTTAAGCCTTGACATTTCATTTATGCAAATGCCTTGAACAAATAATTTCGGACAAAATGGCTGACAAGTTGCAAGTTTGCAACAGTATAAAGAACATAGTAAATCTCAAATAGTGAAGCAATTTCACTCATGTTTGAGCTTTTTCAGGTAATTTTTTGTCACTGTAACCAGTTGTCCAGTCATATCACGTGTGTGTTCATCTACAACTATCTTCATGTACCCTATCATGTGTGTGTTTGAGGCGACCCGTGAATGCATATGTGGCATGTACCGGGGGGTCTGTCATGGCTCTTCTTGAATGTTTAAAGCATTATTGTGTGTTTTTCTTTTAGCTTATTGGGATTTTTAGGAGCCTAGGATCGACTGGGGGATGGGTTTAAGTGCATAGTAATTATGGGCCATTTGATGAGTATTCTTCTCACACTTCCGTACTTGCGCAATTGATAAGCCTTTTTTCTTTAAAAGAAATTACTCCCTGTGTCCTAGGTTCAGTTTATGATGTTTGATTGGTCATAAAGTTAATTGATCCATGTCAATAATAAGATTATTTTTTGTAAGTAAAATTTAAATATTCAGAAACTACATTGAAAGTTATATAAAGTCACAAAAAAACTCAAATTTGATAAAAGTCGGAGGATATATGAAGTAAAAGAATAAGAGCAATTTATCTGGGACGGAGGTAGTACCTTATACTCCGTATAAGATATTATGAATTAAATAAAACATAGACAAAATGGAAAACAGGACCAAATGTTTTTTCCCAGAAAAAGGAGTTCACTTTACCTGTTTACCTCTAACCCAAAAAAGTTTAGGGTTTAGGTATTAGTGTTTTAGCATATACTCCCTTCATCCCCCTAATATTGGGACGGAAGGGAGTGATGTGGTTGATAATGAGTTGATAAAGTGGGAAGAAAGTAAGAATGAATTGGAACCACACAAATGTTACTAAATATGGCATGAGACAATAATAGGGAGACATCCAAAAATGAAAAAATGGGACAATTATTGGGGGGCGGAGGGAGTACTACATATGATTTAGCATTTAGAGTTTTACGGTTTATCATTTACCATTTAGAATTAAGTGGTGGTGGGCATGGCCAGGTGGGGTGGCGGACGGGTAGCAACTGAGGCATGGTAGTGACATCTACAGAGGTCGGAGGTCGGAGGCAGCCAGACAACTGTGGTTGCAGACTTGCTAATTGTATTATAAGAGATAAATTCTGATAGTAATAGTAATGTTATTATTTGTCAATCCATTTAATCTTTACTCCTGGCCCCTGGGAATAAAAACATTCTAATCATATTAGGAAACACCTATGTTATCCTATAGCCACTAGAAATCATAATTGGGGTAAGTGTGGTGATTTGAGCTTTGAACGTTTCTCTTGAAATAAATTGCTTTACATAGAACTAAAACTTAGTACAGAGTAATTTATTTAAACGTGTACGATAAAAGGTATTTTTTTATTTTGACAGTACGATAAAGGGTATTTGGGCAATCTAATAAATTTGAGCCTTAAATTTGTCTGAGATCCTATCTAGCGAAAAATGTCATTGTTGCTCCTATTTGAAGATATCTCCCTTTTCGGTTTCACCCATTAAATGATGAAGCTGCAGTTTGAGCTGATGGATATATACTGATATATTGCTAGGCAAACATACCATATTTGGAAGAGTCTGTCGAGGAATGGAAATTGTGAAGAGACTTGGCAGCGTTCAAACTGATAACACAGATAGGTAAAACTCTTTTTCTTTCTTACATTCATAAGCCCGTCTCAATAATATTGTACATTGATATGTTTTAATCCGTGTCACTTGTATGTACATCTCCTTGGTTTCATTATTACACTAATGGGGTAACTTTTTCTTGTTTATAACTTTAATAAAAACTGCATCTTCATGCCAAGGAAACTGCATCTAAAAAGCATCCCATTCATGTTTCACATAATGAGATTTTATGATCCTCGTTTTAAAAGTGTTTCCACATAGTTTTTGTTTTACATAATCTCACTCTATCACGAGATCATCAACACTAAATAATCTGGTTTCATATTTTGATCCCGAATAATCACTTTCACTCAATCAAACTCTGGAACCAACACATCACCAACTTGATTATCTAATAAGCCTATTCCTAAGAATGGAGCTGAACAAATTATTTTTCTGGGACCAGACCAAGCTGAGCGAGTAGCCACTGCTTTCCACTTTGTGTATTTCTTTTGACTTCAAAAAGCACTTTTTCTATTCCATATTTCCAGTAAATTGTTTCTATTTTAATGCAGACCTGTCCACGATGTGAAGATATTAAAGGCAACCGTTAAAGATTGATGTCATGCTGCACTACAAAAGGGCCGTCAATCTTTTCTAAAAGACACCATCTTTGGCCTGTGCTCAAATTGCTTTATTGCAGCCAATTGATATAATTTGACGGATGGAATGACTAGGCTTTATGTTTGTTATTTCACAGTTTTAATGCATGGGAATTCCTTATTATTCCCCTCAAAAACAAGATCCACTTATAGAACGGACCAGGAATCGACCAAGCCAAGTGATCAGGTCAAGGGTTATACAAAAGGCTAAAGATATGGAATTCGAAAAAATAGAGAATATTACCTGAAATAGGACTTAAAAAGGTTTGAAAATGAAAAGTTCTCGAAATAGGACTATAACAGTTTGAAAATTCCAAAATAGGATTGTTATATTTTTATTTCCAAAATATGATTAATTACTGTCATGTTTTGGCAATACCAGACTTTAAACATGACAGTATTTTCCAAACTTGGCAGTAATTATTCATATTTTGGGAATAAAAAACATGTCAGTCATATTTTGGAACTTTTAAAATGCTTTAGTCCTATTTCGAGAATTTTTCCAAAAAATATCACTGTCGTATCTAATAACCTAATAATAAGAATGTGTAATAAAAATTGAAAACACATATTCTTAAATATAGGTTGAAACTTCAAACTTTAAAGCCCTTTAGGGCTGAGAATACTCTCAGCCTCTCAGGTTGAAATTAAAGGATCTCACATCTTTGGAATAATTTTTGTTTAAACTATGTATCACATGAGATAATGAACTACTGAGGTATATCATGTCATACTCCGCATTATTTATTTATCCTTAATGAAAGTAAGCTTGAAATATTTTAGTTCAAAGAAGCTCAAACATTAAAAAATTTGAGTTTTATGAGGGATCAGGATCTTTTGCCATAAGGCAGAGTGCCTTGCCGCATCCGACGGCGGGGAGACAACGAGGACGACCTCGAGAGTCGAGATCAGGGAAGGGGTGCAGCCCAACATCTTCGGTCGTCCAATTCCCGATCGAACGGCTTGGAAGAGCCAGACACCCTGCCTTGCTTTAAAGCAAGGCAGAGCCTCCGGATCCGTTTTATGAGGGTGAGTGGGTGACTCAGGACAAACAAAACATTCATGAATATTGAATTGAAAATGAACTAATCAAAAAAGGGTGAAAAATAAGAATAAATCAATAACAGATGTTTCGGGAGAGAGATTGTACGATCAATAGTAAGAGTATGTTTAGTAACACTCAAATTTGTTGAATTGATTGATTCTCTTAGAATTTATGAAGTTTGGCTAAAATGATCGGATTAGTTGATTCTACCGAATTATGAAAATTTTATATTTTATTAATAGAGTAAATAAAAAATTATATAAAAAATTGCTAAAATGGTCTTCTGTAGTAACTTCAGTCAATCCATCCGGAAGAGTACCTTCAAATTTGCTTATTTTGATGATTACATAATTTATTAGCGTGTGAAATTGAAAGTTACGTGTTTAGTGAAAAGTTGAGTGAATGACATAATCACCCAAAGGGATCTAACTATCTAAGTAAAGTTGCTCTTGAAGATGTATTTTACTATGAAAGAAAAGTTGTGGGGGGGGGATGTAAACTCATTCGGATAAGGAGGAAAATAGAACACATTAATGCTATTGAATAAAATAACTAGTAATGTACTCTCGTACTACGTATTACGGAGTATATACTAAGTCACCTCCGAATATTGAGTAAAACTACAAATTCACATAGAACAAAATATATACTCCCTCCGTCCCAAATTGTTCTGTAAAGTCAATATTTTTGGTCAATCAATAATAAAAGTCAAACTTTCTTATTGATAATTAATTCAATTTTTAATAATTAAAATTTACATATTCATAAACTATATTGAAATCTCTTCAAAGTCATAAACTCCAAATTGGAATATAATTAGAAATTGACATCCTAATTAAACGAACAAAACAAATCTCTTTGACCAAGAAAAGTCAAAATTGCAACTCAATTTGAGACGGAGGTAGGATAAACAGCATGTTTATACTTTCATCTACAACAAGTTCATGTCTCCATTAAGTGAAAATTAAAAGAAAAATAATAAAAATAAAAGGAAAAACGGGCTCTTTTAGATTTAGTTATTTGAGAAGAAAATGCATAACCATATTGATCAATGCGAGTATGTTGGTTTGAAGAAAATTATACGGAGTAAATAATAGCGGATCAGATGAGTGAAGGTGAAATGGTGTTCGGGTGATGGATGATACATGTCTCCACCAACACTCATCTGTTTCATGACTTCATCACTCTCCATCATCTCATTTTTCACTCTATTTTTTCCGGTTTTCATTTATTGTTGTGGAATCTCTCACCACCGGAGCCTCACATTCTGACCCGACGGAATGGTGGAGGAGTAAGTCATAGTGACTCAGTCGGGTCAATGGTGGTAGGTCTTATACCCGTGCACCCAAAGATACGACCCAGCATGCAGGAGTTGTAACCTCCACATGGGTGTTGCGAGTTTCAAACTTTGGTCATTGTTCCAAATTTTCCACCACTCAACCAATCGGGCGGGTAAGCGGGTTTTTTATTTTCATTCATATTGTGGATTTGAATGGATCTATTATCCAACACGTGCATTTAATCGACTTCATGTAGCAATTTTTTGTTAGTATTTATCATTTCACTTGTATTTATGACGTAGTACGCATTATTTTTATTGTCGCACGATGAAGTTTTATACTTTTCCTGTTGACTTAAGATATATTGCTCATATTTGTGTTATACTCCGTATTGTTTAAAGGGATAAGGGTCAGATAGGGCCTCGAACTCGAAAAAAAATGTCAAATAAGGTCATATTTCGGATGCTCTGTCTGGCCGACGCCATTTGGGGCGGTTCCCGATGGAATTTTTTGATGAAATTTTTTGAGCATCTTCCTCATTAAGTCTAGTTTACCCATACCAAATTTCAGCTAAAAACTCAACCGGGAAGGTAGTCAAATGAATTTTTGAAGATAACTGTGAAGTTAAACAACGCCGTACATTTCGGAAAATTATTTGACTACCTTCCCGGTTGAATTTTTAGCTGAAATTTGGTATGGGTAAACTAGACTTAATGAGAAAGATGCTCAAAAAATTTCATCAAAAAATTCCATCGGGAACCGCCCCAAATGGCGTCGGCCAGACAGAGCATCCGAAATATGACCTTATTTGACATTTTTTTTCGAGTTCGAGCCCCTATCTGACCCTTATCCCTTGTTTAAATGATGGAAGAAATTAAACCCGTTGAATGAATGTAATTGATTGATTGTATCGTGAAGGTTGTTTATGAGAAGGATAAAATACTAAAGTAGATTTGTTTTTTAAATTTTATTGAATAAAGGTACGTACCTTTTTGATGTGAAATGGTGGTTGGGAATAGTTAATCAAACCCCATACAATCAAACTTCAAAATAATACTCCGCACTTAGCACCGTACCACCCTCTACTTAGTTGACCAACAATTTCAGTCAAATTATCATTTACCTTGTATAAGAATATGGAGTAGAAAATAGTGATGGATAAATCTGCGTATTATTTCAGTCATGTAACATATGGTTAAATTTGTACGTATGGGTCGGCCATAAAAAAGAAATTACATATGAAGTGCTCAAGTGCACTTTTAATGTAACAATTATACACATTTTATATTGATCAAATATCCCATAACATGGATATATACACAAATTGATATTCCACATAGAAAAGTAACACCTTTCTTTTTATTTCTACATCTTCCATGATTTTTGTCTTTTTGGTAATTTTCCTTCATAGTCTAGTGATTAATACAACGTATTACATTTGTTTTAAGGCAACCACTACAAAAAAATGGTGCAATACCGACCGACTTTCCAACGAAATTTGAAGAAATAGTCGTTGGAACTGGAATTTCCAACGAAATACCGACAGAACTTGGCCGTTGGAATACATTGGTTGGAAATTTTTCCAACGACCATTTCCAACCAATTTTATTGTTTTGCGCCAGAGTTCAGACGAATATAGCTGTTGGAAATTTCCAACAGATAATTCCGTTGGAAATAAACAACCAGATTTCTCAAGACCATATCAATGACCAACGAGCTTCCAACAGATAAATTGGTCGGAAATTAAACAAGCCATTTAAAAAATTGGTTTCTCATTTTGTATTTCTAGTTCCATGCTACTTTTCTACCATAAAAATTCACCATAAATAAACTGCACATTATACCATCCAACTTGAAAATTTCAAAACATACCATAAACACTATTCGTAATTGTCAATAAACACAAAGTGAATGTGGTACAAAAGTTTGACAAATTAAAGACAAGTAGATTGTTCATTACACCACAAATAAATAAAAGCTTATGCTAGAAATTGTTCTTCATTGTCCACCACCTTCATTTCCTCTTGTTTGTTCGTGTTTCAGCCTTCATGCAAAACACTCTTCAACTAAAATGAACACCTAGAAGGCTAGAATTGAAATCAATCTTAATACCAGCTTCTTGAACAGAATGATATGCGTAGTTCTGCTGCATAAAACACATAGTCAAAACTAATGTAAAAATCAAACACATATGCCATATATACAAGTATTATATACTCAAATTTACCACAAACAACATAAACCATGACTCACGAACTTCCTTTCGAATATGTCCATGCACTATGTAACTTTCGCTGTCAAGAATGTTTATTCTTCAAAGTGGCATCAATAATCAGAATATTTGTTTAAATTCACCTTAAAAGTATAAGTACCTAGTAGGTTTTTCATTTCGAATTTTTGTCAAACACCATGGCCACAAAGCTCTTTGACAAAGAAGGGGAAGCAATAAGAATATCCTCTCACTAATTATATATAAATCACTATTTCACTAATCCCACTACCGTTTACAATAAAATGTTACGGGGTAATAATATAGTCATCCATTTTAGGATAAACTACAAAATAGTCAAATCTAAAGCATTTGGACACATTTCAGAATCAAAGTAATATCCATATTAAGCTCAATTGTAGGCATCAATTGTTGGTTCCATCCTTAAACATTAAATTAGTTCTTCCAAAATCCTATTAAATTAAAGCAAGTATCAATCGTTGGTTCCGTGGGTTATAAATGAGTTAAATTAGTTCTTCCCAAATCCTATATAATTAATAAATGAGTTAAATCAAAGAACTAGTTTAGTTAATTAGTACGGCGCTTTGGAAGAATCAACTGCATAAAAAGTAAAAACGTCTAATTTGCATCTGGAGAAGAAAAGATAGAAGAAAGACGGAGATGATAATTTACCTAGAGATTTCGAAGCCTTGATATGCCGTCAGTGTACACCGGTTCTTCACTTCGTTGTTGAGCGATAGTTCTCTGCCCCAGCCACTATAGGTTTAAGGGGTATATGTTTTGGGCTTGCATATATCCAACGGACGAGATTTGTGTTCACCAGCCAAAAAACCCGCATATCAACTGTGTTTATCAACGGACGGGATTTGCTGGAAATCCGACGAAATGCCAACCGAATTCCAATCACTTTCCTACGGAATTCCAACCAATGCTATCCTGACCAGAGCTCAAAAATTTCCAACGACATTTTGCCAGATTTCCGACGGAGTCCGTTGGAAAGCTAGTTGGAAATCGGTTGGAAATTTCCAACACAAAAAACGGTGGGAAATCGTCCGTAGGTAATGAGGTGTGTTTTTGTAGTGAACAACAAGTCAACAACATCATATCTAAGCCTTGTCCGATCCCCAAATAAGTTTAGGGTCGATTAATAATTTTGAATGAGCGTAGGAATAAATTGGGATTAAAGAAGATTAAAAAGAAACCTATAACCCATACGTATACTCTTCAAAGTGATCATTTTTGTATTTATTTCTCTCGATCGTGCTACTATACAACAAATTAAATGTGTGGAGAAAATCATTACATTGGAGATGGTGAAATGCTATGAGATTGGTAAGTCTCTATTTTTCGTCCATTCAGGGGTTGCATTGGCCTTGCATTCTTCGTGCTTCCATTGTCCAATGGACGTTGCAAAGTTTCGACTTGATCCATTGAAATTGTGCGAAACTGAATCATATACATATATAGTCCATGCATTTTTAATAGAGTTTTACCAATTCAAAAACTACCAATTTAGAGAAACAAATGAATATATAAACAATTTAGAAAAAACTAAGGATGTTTTTTGTTGGTTTAGTTTCAGTATGAGATCACACCTAATTTAGACACTAATAATACACATAAAATAGACATCTATCAGACTAAACTTATATAATACTACTTAATACAATACACATAAAACATACATCAGTCAGACCAGACGAGAAAATTTCAATCTAATTAAAAACATACTAAATCATACTACTGCCATCCTACCTAGTGTCCCTATACACTTTCATATCATATGTTTATGCATGTGAAAGCTTTAAGTGTTACTTTTATGAAAGTATTCTTGATAGAGAATCATCTCATATCAATTTTATATTATAAGTAGTTTCATATTAAAGTTTAATTGACCAAAAAGTTTAAAATGTCAAAAACAATTAAGGGACAAATGGTGGCCTCATGACTCTCATCAATCTTGTACATATATAGGCCCGTACGTACCTTTTCTATGACAATCCAAGTAACATCTTCTGTGCATGGGGGAGTGGTTAAAGAGCCTTCGTATGTGTAATATCTATCGACATTAGTAAATTCTCTTAAAAGATTTTGAATATGACGAATATTATTGTTTCCCAGTGCAACTTCAGGTGGATGTTGGGACGGTGACCTTTTTGAGAGCCGACTCAATTCTTGTTCTAGCTGCATGTTTACACAGGATATATATGAATCAACAATTCTACATCATAACCTCACTAATTGTCTCCAAAAAAAACCTCACTAATTAATAACATCATTTAGCTGCACAATAAAATTGTAGATTTATGGGATGTTTAATTTGAATCTGATTCTTAAAACTGTTTCTACTCTTTCGGGAAGCAGAAGCAGAAGTCGATGTTTTTGGGTGAAAGTGCAGAAGTAATTCCGGTGCTCTAGTTTACTCTTTGGAACAGTTTTTTTAGAAGATATATGGGGGGACAAACTTCTCAAAACTTATTTGTTTTTTTTTGTTTCGTAATTTTCGATTGTATCCGTTCTCTAATTTGATTTTATTCCGTACTCCGTATAACTTTATTTACTTGCAAACGAGTCGGGTAACTAATAAATAAAAGACCTTTTCACTGAAACCATAAAGACATAAAGTCAACCTTTCGGTGGAAAATTTTACAACGCTGAAACCTTTTGATGAAACCTTTTCATGTCAAATTACAATTACTTAATTTACCTCTGCAATAATGGGGTCAGATTGGCCAAATCGAAACATAATTGCGACCACAACCATGCTATTATGGGGAGATTTGAACGGTAGGTGAAGCTCACACGTGAACCTGCAAGATAATACGGAGTAATAATTTACAAAATTATATGCACACTCATAAAGAAAATATTGCAAATTTAATACTCCCTTCGTCCCTTATTTAAGTTTTCACTTTCCTTTTTTGGATGTCAAGATTCACATTTCCTTATTTGGGAAACAAATCTACACCAAAATTAAATAATGTCAAACAATGCCAAAACAATGCATTCATGTGTCCCTCACTAAATTTATTTTCTTAATATGTGTGAAGTCAAACTGTGAACTTAAATACAGGACGGAGGGAGTACTATGAGTACGTAAAAGTAGTAAAATGTAGGTTGTATAAGCCCAAGACGAATTACTATTAATTAATGTCTCCGAAAATGAAATGTATTCAGTTCGAGATAAGGAAACAAACAAAAGTATTCTCTCCATCTCATAAAACTTGGCCATTTTTTTTATCTATCTCAAAATTTTTTGTCATTTCCATAATTAAAGTAAGACTCATTCACTTTTTGTGATAAGTTTTTATTGTTAATAGCTAGGACTTAGTAAGCCCCATGTTGAGAAGAAAGACATACTTGGTTATTTCTATTTTAAAACATTATAATTGTTTTGCTCTTATTTTACGCAATTCTTTAGTTAGTTAGTTGAATGTATAGTATATATGCTGTTTCGAACTAGATCAAAGACGTGGTAACATTCTAGTACATAAACTTTTAAAGCACAACAAGAAACTATTTACGTATGACGTATTGAATTGGAAAACTTTTATAGCCACATCCCATTTACTACTTTTTTGTTCAATTTTTTAGTGTAATTGTTTTGCACGTTTCTTATTTGGCTTATTCGGTATCACGTAGTACTTTTTACCTAATATATCACTACAAAAAAATTACGGGATTGTCACGGTTTCGGTACGGATTGATTGATGATTTCGTGTCAAATAACTCATGTCAAAGTGTTTTTGGAATGAATTTGACGAATCTCTGTCAAAAGTATCTGTCAATTCCATATTTTTTGTAGTGTATGATCAATTTTTAGCCCAACGAACTCAAATTTATGAATACAGATAGATGTTTAAAAAGTTTGAGTGAAAAAGAGAGCTAACGAGTTGCTGAAGTGTTCAGAAGGGGCATGCCAATGCAATTGTGACAAAGTGTAAATGGTACCGTGAAGGACCAACGATCCTCCACCTCCTCCATTATAACGTAACTGCATGCACAAATCCAACTTAGTTAATTATTAGATCTCCTTCATTATAACCCTTAATTGATTGCTTTGAAAAAAAACTTATAGTAGTTAATTATTAGATCTCTCTTACGGACCCAAATCCCCAATCTCCTTCATTATAACCCTTAATTGATTTCTTTGAAAAAAAATTATATTACCTCCGTCTCAAATTGATTTGCAAAATTGATTTTTTTTCGTCAAACAGTTTTATTTTATTAACTTAATTAGGATGTCAATATATAATTATATTCAAATTCGAAGTTTGCAACTTTGAAGATATATATTTTTTCATAATTACTGAGTATGTAAGTTTTAATTATTATAAATAAATTGAATTAATTATCAATAGGGATGATTTAACTTTAACATTAGTTGACCAAGAAATGTTGAGTTTGCAAATCAATTTCATACATGTACAACACTCTCATTTTCTACTATTTGTATATAAAGACGACTTGAAATTGAGAAAGCAAATTAAACATATTTACAAACCTCGACATGGTAGCCCGTGTTAACCAATGTGGCATTGACTGAATCGGTAAAATGGATATCCAAAGCCTTCAAATTAGGATTCAAATGGACGGGTATAGAAGAAAGATTAACCGGGGACTGAGATCTACCGGTGGCGCATAGCGCGTAATTCGGGCTTAACCTTGCCCAATGGTCAGGGCCGGTTGAGTCCGAGTAACTGAACGCAACATCTTCACAAAATACGGGTTTGATGAGGAAGTTAAAGGCAGCAACCGCAAATAGCAAATTCATCTATATATGCTCAACAACCTTGTCGTGCTATTCCAATTTCTACACCATTTTTATGAATGTGCTCTTCATATATGTACTCCCTATATATAAGTAGATGGGCACGGAATCATTATATATAGCCCTTATATATGTACTCTTAATATAACAATAGTAAAGTAGCAAGAAATTATTGCCCGATCCTTTTAATTACTCCGTAATAAAAGACACGCCCATTTTCCTACTTTTCGGCATAATAACACTAATTAATGATAGGAAAGAAAAGAACTACAAAAAGAAAAGGAGGGATTGAGTAGACCTCCAAAAAAGTGGGTTCACATGTAGTTACATTTTTTAGGGAAAAGGTGCAAATAGGCCCATGTACTAACCAAAAAGGTCAAATAAGCCCTTATTTAGGAGGTTCTGTTCGGTCATCACCATTTGGGGTGGTTCCCGGTGGAATTTTTTTATGAAAACTTTTGAGCATCTTATTCATCAAGTCTAGTTTACTCATACCAAATTTCAGCTAAAACTTCAATCGTGAAGGCATTCAAATGAATTCTTGAAAATAACTGCGCAGTTAGAAGCGCAGTTATATATCTTCAAGAATTCATTTGAATGCCTTCCCGATTGAAGTTTTAGCTGAAATTTGGTATGAGTAAACTAGACTTGATGAATAAGATTCTCAAAAAATTTCATCAAAAAAAATCCACCGGGAACCGCCCCAAATGAAGACGGCCGGACAGAGCCTCCTAAATAAAGGCTTATTTGACCTTTTTTTGTTAGTACATGGGCCTATTTGCACATTTTCCCTTTTCTTTATATTTTCTACTCATTCATGAGGGCGGGCCCAGTCCGGCCCGTAACATACGGGTCTAATCGAATATCCATATATGCCCGTAAGAGCGGCCTGGTAGTCTACTGGGCCATCCAGCCCCCCAAAGCTCTAAAATATTTCAAAAATATAAAAAACAATTTAGAACACTTAAAATGATATTACAACATTTTAAAAATAGTTAATATGTTTATAATGTTTGTAGGCCTCTCACCATATACACAAAAAAGGTTTACATAAAAATAATGATGAAAAAGTATAACTAAAACATAATAATCAAACACAAATTATTATCTTTAACTATAAGAATAGATATTATTGTATATTGAGTGGGCTAATTGTTAAGAACTAAAAACTTAATTTAAACAAGGGAAGTTCTAATTGCAGCCCATGTTTTACTATTAACAGCCACCATACTAAACCGTAAATGAATATATTTTCTATATACTTGTATTACCCTTCCCTTTAAATCGTCGTCTTCTTCTGTTCGTTCTTTAAAAAAACGTCGTCTTCGATCTGTTCGTTCATGAAGTCTGGACTACTTGAATCGGAGATGAAGCTAAGTGCAGAATTACAAAAAAAAAAAAAGATGAAATTCAAACTTCCAAAGTCTAAACAATTGTTTGAAAGAATAAATTAATCAAAATCAACTTTCAAAAATAAAAACAGAGAAAAAAAACATAATTATTTAGTACAATTTATTTTTTACATGCTTCTGGCGTCAAGAAGACAAATGATAATGGATTATGAAGGTAGTTCGAAATCTAAATCCCCTTCCAGCGAATAGTAATAGCACTAGCTAAAACAACCAATGAGTTTCATCACCATCTTATTGCAAGTTTCCCTTTGAAGGTGTGAGAGATAATTGAAGAAGAAGATCTGCACCCATATCTAGTCCTCCAGATGTGGATGCCCTTGAGGTAGAAGGCGTTGACATTGGTGATGGAGGCGAAGGCTGCACCGGAAGACGTGGAGGCCGAATCAAAGGAAATCGGCGATGGCGGTGGAGACCAAAGTGGAAGACTGGAAGGCGTCTACGATGGACGATGGTGGGGACCGAGGGCTGAATCACAAAGTTGCTGGCCGGCTGTATTTCCTAAAGGACAAATTGGTTATTTATATTTATTATTTACAATTATTTATTTTGGGGCTGTTTTTAGTAGAGTGGAGGCTCTAAATAGAATCTCCCTTTAAACAAAATGGACCATAAATATGTATAGCGACAAGGGCCTGGACTTATCAGCCTGGGGCTACGCCCTATATAACTCAATCCTTCCATATGCTATTATATTTTAAGACTAAAAAAATGAGACCCTCAATAATAAATTGCATCATCATATTTATAGAAAAAAAATGTAAACTCATTTAGATTAGGAGGAAAAGAGAACACATTAATGCTATTGAATAAAATAACTATCGTATTATATACTGTCACCTCCAAATATTGAATAAAACTACAAATTCACATAGAACGTAACAAAATATAAATAACATGTTTATACTTTCATCTACAACAAATTCATGTAAAACATTATGTGTGGATGAGAATTCCTAAATATTAATTTCTCCCGGCAGACGCATTTTGATTCAATTCCTAAAAATTGTCACTAGTGATGGCTTTTTAATCTTTTTTTTGGTCTAGGTTTGCAATCGGCGGCTCGGCGTAGGTTTGCAGACTACTTTTCGCCGTGAGAAGAGATCAATGGAACGTTTATTTTGCAGGCCGGCAGGAGCATATCCTCTGGTGTCGTGCAAGTTTCCTCTCTTTAGGGTTCGTCATCAGGTGTTACCGCTAGAGACGTTCGTCCGCTGTCGGTTTGCTTCGAGGAGCAGGACCGATTTCGGCCATTCTTTTTGTCACAATCTAGATCTAATGTGTATCAAGAGGATGCAGCAAGCAAGAGGCGGGGGTATTGGCAACCTAGTCACGGATCATGGATTGACAGATTTGGTTCCGACCCTCAACACGGGTGATGAGCAGAGGGGGAGCGACGAAGGGCTGAGCAAGGGAGATTACAGATCGGCGGTCCGTCCCCCTCATGCTACTATACAACAAACTGTGAAATTATGGGAAAGGGTACTCCAATAGGAGTCCTGACAGATATATTTATAATAGAAGAATTGTCCAAATACAAAGTATTCCTAAATAGATATTAGGCAGATTCCTAAATATCTATTAGGTAGATTCCTAATTATATTAGTCTATTACAAACTAGTATTCTCACCCGTGCGATGCACGACCGAAATATTTAATCCAAGTATTATAAATCAAAGAGTAATATATATATATATATATATATATATATATATATATATACATATATATATATATATATATATAGGGAAAAGATCAGGTGAGAAGTGCCCCTTAAAATGAAAAGTGAGAAGTAATCTCAGCCCTTGGATTTGCATCTGATCTTACAACGCAGTAAACTTATATACTAAATATAGGAACTTATAACCAATAAATCATAACTTATAAAGCTCTCCATAATAATTACGAAAATGCCACCGCGTCCAAAAATTTTCTAGGTTTTCGTAATTATTTTTTTGCGGTGGCATTTTAGTAATTATTTTTGAGGGGTTTATAAGTTATGATTTATTGGTTAAAAGTTCATATACTACGTATTTAGTCTATAAGTTTAACTTCGCAGTTTTCAGCCTAAGAGCACTTCTCACCTGATCTGCTCCCTGTATTTGTGCGCGCGCGTATATATGTGTGTGTAAAAATGAAACATAAGAGAATTAAAATTAACACACTTGGAAAAGTTTCTTAACCTCAAATGACGTGTAAACATATGAGGATTTCGAAACACTTTATCGAAAACAACATTTAATTAGTTTTTTATTATTACTATTTTGAACTAATTAAAAATAAATATAACACAAATACAAATTAAAAACATAACAAACTCACCATAATCTTTTTGTGTGCGCGCTTTCATAAAATGAATTAAGCTTTTTTCTAATACAATTGAATTAAGCTTATTAAAAAATACAGAGTACATCATGTAAAAGTAGTATATGACAAATTGTCAATATGAACAAAGTAAAGAAAAACTAACCGTCATAGTAAGTGAAACACAATACATAAGCATATGCATAATGAAGAACCATCTATCTTCACAAATTAGAATATATAGGTGAAAATGTGAAATACGAAGGTACAGTATACTTTTAAAGACATTCACTTGGCTGAATTGACTAAATTTGGGGAAATTAACGAAATAGTGAATGGCTCTACTGAAATATGGAAAACTTATATTAAAAATATATTTTATTTTACTAATAAAATAAAATAAAAATTATATGAAAATATCCTAAACGTCATCTACAGTAATTTCAATCAAAAAAATAATTTCAACCTTACAAATTTTGAATTTACCCAATTCAATATACGAAAACAAAAATTACGTTTTTTTGAAAATAAAAATTGACTGATAAGAATGATAAGCTAGTATCACCCGTGTGATGCACGAGCAAAAAATTATAGCCGAATTCTTACAATATTACTATTACTAAAAATGAATGTAAAATCTTTACATAAATATGATTTTAATGAATACGTAATATAAATATGCAAATCAGTTCTTTAGAATTGAAGCTGTAATATGGTTGGTTTTGAACGTAACAGAAGATTGGTTTCCAATCGCAATCCAACATGAGAGTGACTAACTTCTTTATAGTCATAGCGTAGCTGAAATTGTATTTTTTGAAATTTGAAAGTCTAACATTTGAGAAAAGTTAAAGAATAATATTGGAATCAAAACTTATGCTCACACAGTCACACTTCTCCCCCGTGAGAACTTTTACTTCTAAAATATACTCGGTGAAATTATTATAGAGATTATTAATTACTTCATTTATAGAGATTATTACAAAAACATTATAGGCCCGTAAGTAGGCCCACAGACCTCTTCAATTTCTATTTCTTTTAATTTATTCTAAGCTTGTAACACTTACTCCATACAAAATAAAATGTTATAACAATTGTTGATGTACACGCTTACATTAGTAAAATTGTATCTCAAATAACTTTTACATTATTAAGATGAATTGTTAGTGATATCATCAAAAAATACGGAGTGTGTACAAAACTTAGACCATGGAACAATTCAAAAGGGAAAACAAGACAGAAAAAATTAGTTTTTTTGCTAAACTATTACTAAAATAAAACATATTTACGCAAATATGACTAATAGTCACTACAATATATTTTCATGGTAATTTAATTTTAAAATTGAAAATAAGTTACTATGATTCTATTACTACTCTAGTATTATCTATGATAATTCTCTCA